TTCCACCTTTCCACTCTGCTGCACAGCTCTGTGTTGATGCAGGAATGCCAAGGCACTTGGCCTTTTTTTGGCCATCATTTTGGTTAGTTTTTTCCCACATTATCTCTGCAGAGCACTCAAAAGCAAACCAGGTTCAGCAAGGTCATAGCTGCTCTAAGGTCATTCATTCCCTGAGTCATTGCAGAGGCAGAAGAGTTCTGAACTGCAGATTGCAAAGCAAGGGATGCTTCTCATAAGGAAAGTGATTTTAAGTGTTATAGGTAGAATGTGCGAAGGAAAAACAGTTTAGGACAGGTATAGAGAAATAGATATTAGGTGGTGTAGCAATACATTTTTTTCTGATATCCTCTATGGTGAAGGCTTAATTTTAGTGTGTTTTCTTAGATAACTCCAAAATTTGCCTTGCTTTCATTTTTTTCTTTTTACTTCTACTATCAAACCTTAGATCCTGTTATTGCATGTCTATTCTAATTGTTTAGACATAAGTTAATATCCGGTCTCTCTTGGTTTATTCCTAAAACATTGGTTTTTTTAAAGTGTTGTTCTTATATGTCATCCCTATATTTCTAAACCTTTACACCACGTTGGCTTCTAAATCTTTGCCCCTTAAAGAATATCAATTGCCTTAGCCTGGGGTTTAAGCCTCTTTGTGATATGATCTCAACCTAAATTCAAAAAGATTCTCTTCACATACTTACTACCAGAATGCTATGGCCAAATGAACTGGTTTCTCTTCAAGTCTGGAAGTTTCATCTGCTAGTTATTCCACTCCTTGATGATTATCACTTATCAAAATTCTCACCATTTTTTATGATCCTCCAAATTTAAAAATTTGTCAGTGTCGCCATCACTCCTAATGTAATGTCTACTGTCTTTGTTTTTGCTCTTAGTAAGTTTGTGTTACCGTGCAGTCACAGGATGTTTCACAGAGGTATATATTTTGCGTAATCACCTTATCTGTTTTTCCGGGTTAAAGTGTTTTTAAGATAAGGATCCTGTTTTGGTCCTATGTTCAGCTCTCCTGCGGCCCATCACAGTGATTTACACAGGGCGGAGTCAGTAAACACACATCGAAGAATCGTGGTATCTTGGCCACGTGGCTCTCAAAGTTGTTGCACTGGGTGAGATGGGCGATAACTGGAAAACCCACCAGCCCATCTGCAGTTTGCATAGCGAGTGCTTAGATTATTGAATTCCTGTTTAGATGTCATCACTGCAGGAAGTGTTATGCAGGTTCTTTCTAGACATAGCTAAACACTATCCTTTGTACTTTTGGGTGTCCTTTCTCAACTTCTTTGAACATATATTTGCACTGTGTTGAAATTTGTATACAAATTTAAGCTCTCTCATCCTATTGTGAGCCCCTTGGTGGGAAGAACTATGTCATGGGGGGGGTCGTAATAAACTCTCATTGTTTGGGCCATTGGGGGCACTTTTAGCATAAACGCTTATTCTGTGGCCATGAGTGTGTACACTGCTCCTGATGCCTGTGTAATAATCGTCTTTTACCAGATGTAAATGGTACATTGTATGAAACGGTCAGCCTTTTTCTCTCACAGATGTTTTTGTTTCTGTAGATGTACTCCTAAATGACTTTTGTATTAGCAAAAGGGGTACAATATCAAAAGGAAGTAATGTTTCACTTTCTATCCTTTCAGTTAGAATAATCTCCAGTTTCAGAAAGTAGAACATCCTTTGGATTTATATTCATGAAGACCAGGACTTTTCAATTTATTTTTACTTTTTATTTTATTGTTGTTCAAGTACAACTGTCTGCATTTTCCTCTCACCACTTGCCCCTAGCCCAGCCACCCCCCGCCTTCCACCCTTGATCCTACCCCCCCTTTGGCTTTGTCCAAGACCAGGACTTTTTTAAACTTTAAAGGACATGCTTAACCTTTCAAGCATTTATTGAGTCCTTGCTATGTGTGGAACATTTATGTTAGATGTTGAAGATAAAAAGTTGTTCTAAGTTATGGTCTTAATGTGGTTGAGGGAAAAGGAAGACTTTTTAAAGGGATCGATGTTAAGAGGCACAGAGTAATTATATATCTATTAATTATTTAGTCCCAGAACTTTTATTTATTCTGGCGCTTTTGCAGTTGCTTTTGTATTCTACTTTCAAAAATCCTCTTTTGTATTATGTGGCCCCTTTTGCTAGTCTCCAGGATATTTAACTCAAACTTTTCTTAGTTGAAAGAGCTTAAGAAAGCATGAAGGTAGGTCAAGGAAGCATGCATGAGTTTTTCTGCAGAAGTTATTCTTTTGACCCGTTGATCGGGCCAGTGTGTACACCCTTAGGTTTACAGTTTTCTTGGAGACTGATTTGAGGATCCTGCTTATTAATTTCCATGTTGGTACCTCTGATATAGTCCTGAATGATTTAGTATCAATAGGGCTTAAAACTATGTGATATTCCCAGCTATTGTTCATTCCCTTTCCCTCCCTCAAATGACACATTTCTACCAATTAACAAATAAAGTTTTAATTTTTTTGTATGGTTAATAAGTTAATTAATTATAGTTGCCATTGAGAAGAATGTCATTCATTTTTTAATTAATTGAGATTGAAGATTAACTTAGAATTGACTGTGTATCATACACGTTGCTAAGGTGTTCAGGATACAGCCGTACATAGTCATACTGTTACTTATAGTCTAATGTCAAAGACAGATAAATACACATTCAACTTTAAGCCAGTGTGATGAGTGCTATGATAGAGGGAAGCATAAGGGAGGAGACCTAACCTCACTGAACTCCCCTGTCTCACCTGGCTGAAGCAGGAAAAACTACCAGAAAAGGTGAAGGCTGATACAGGTTTTAAGGATGAGTAGGACTGAGCCAGTGGCAGAAGGTGGCAGAGTAAAGGTTATTCCAGGCAGAGGGTTCTGGACAGGCAAAGAGACAAAGGCACTGGTGAGCCAGAAAACCGAGTCAAGGAATTGCACGTGTTTGACGGTAGTCCTGGCAGGGGATCCAAGGTGAAAGATGAGGTTACAGGTGTGAACGGAGGCTAGACCATGAATGGCATATGTTAAGGTCATAAGACACATCCACAGGCAGGAGTGAGCCAGTTCTGTGAGCTCCACCTTAAGGTGTAACCAGAATCCAGCCACTTCTTGCTGTCTTCCCACTCTTGCTCTAACCATCACAGGCTCTTACCTGGGGCTTATAAGTTAGGAGGTCTTACTGGCACCACTGTCCTTGAACCTCTTCTGTCTGTTCTTAACACAGCAGTCACAGTGCCCAGAACATAAGCAAATCGTGTCACTCCCCCATTTAAAACCCTTCCATGGCTTCCCATTGTACTCAGTGTATGAGCCCAAGTTCTGGTAGTTGCCTCTAGTGCTTACTGCTATTTAATATACTGTGTAGTTTACTTATTTATGCTTTGTAGAATGAAAACTCCATGAGTGTAGGAATCTTTGTTTTATTCCCAAGTGTGTCATCAACACCTAGAACGATGCCTGTGAATAAATTTTCAGCCATTGTTTGTTGAAAAAAAATGAAAGACTGAGCCCCCAGGTGGAGCATGATATTTCTGTCATTAGTCACTGTGCCATGGGTTTATTTTAGCCCTTTGCCCTCCTTTCCCAACCTTACTCCACTCATGATTTAAACCATTATGCTTTCAAACCACTTATGCTGAAATGAGCTGGTTTTATGAACATGGATTAACCTCTTTTTCTCCCAAGGAGATTTTCATTCTCAGTCAGACGTGGACTAAGTACATTGATGCTTTTCTTTCTTGTGTCAACTAACCTGGCCTGCGATGAGTGCTCTGAGATCACGGTTAGACCCACATGTGTGAGCCAGGGGTGAGATCTTGGTGTTTCAGCGAGAAGAGAACGATGTTCTGACTAAACTGTAACGAGAGCTAAACCAAAACAGTCCCTGGGTTCCCAGTGTAAAGTCGCATTCTCCTCTTTTAAAGCCAACACGTCCACTCCCTCAGAGTGGTCACATTCTGGCTCTTGGTGTAGGAGCTTTCGTGCTGTGAAAATGAACTGTTCTGTTGTTTCAGGCTCCATAGGGGTATCCGCATTTGATTTCTCCACAAATAGAGCAGAGAAATAGAACCATAGAATAACACTGTGGACACATTTAACAATATTTATTTAGTGAGTAAAAGAGCTAGACCTTTTGTTACATTGTCTGCTCTCCCAGTCAATAAATGTTATTGTGACCACTGGGCAATGCTTGAAATCAGCCCATCCTAATTAGGGGGATATTAATTACTTTAATGATAATGTTCACTAGATTATAAACCACTTTTATGTACTGTAAAAGGTAATAAATGACAGGGGGTAGGATTGAGGGTGGGAGGTGGGGATGGCTGGTGTACAGGAGAGCAGCGGGGGGCGGAAACTGGAGACAACTGTACTTGAACAACAATAAAAAAGAGAAAGAAAGGTAAGAAATGCTCTTCTGCATAACTTCTCAAGATTTCTTCGGGATCTTTAGTCTACATATGCTGAACACTGTCTAGGGGAGCAGCATACTGCTTAACAGTCAAGCAGAGAAAGCACAGTGCCTGCTTTTAGGATGCTTTTTATGCTTACATTAACAATAGCTCATACCATTGTCACTTTTATTGAGCTCCTACTATGTAACAACCACTGCCATTTAAATTCCTACAAGATGCTTTGCCTCTGTTATTTCACTGAATGGTTCCAATAATTCTTCAAGGCAGATGTGTATCTGCATTGTTCTGATCAGACAGTTGGAGGCAGAGAGGATAAGTAACAATACACAAATAATAAATAAGCTGTAACAAATCAAACTAGAAGAGAAGTCATGTGGCTACTTTGTGTCTAATTGTTAGAGCAAATAATATGAGGACAATAAGGTCCCCTCACTCAAGGAGCTTACCTTCTGGTAGCTATTTTTATCAAGCAAAGTGAGTTAGTTTCTTTTACTAATCTTAATTCCCAGCTGGATATATGACTTGTTAGCAATATGAGTATTTTCTTCACATGGGTTGGTTACCTCTTTCTACAGAAGGGAGCTGGGTATCACCTGGACCTCTTCTGGGTGGCCATCCTCATGGTGGTGTGCTCCTTCATGGCTCTTCCGTGGTACGTGGCTGCTACTGTCATCTCCATTGCCCACATCGACAGTTTGAAGATGGAGACGGAGACGTCTGCACCTGGAGAGCAACCAAAGTTTCTTGGAGTGAGGTATGTTGAGTCAGAAGAAAATGGCTCTACAAAACACATTGTGGGCACATGCACCTGTCAATCATAAGGAAAGGGGTAAATACGGAGGGGCAGATATGGATTTAGATGTTGATGATTAATTTATTCTCATACTTGCTTTTCTATAAAGGACTACATTTTTCAGCAGAGAGTCTTCAATAACTTTTTGAGTTCACTTCTTATAATAAGTAAATTTCCTTTGATTCATGAAGGCCAAGTAATACAATGTGAAAATGTAAAGAGGTCATTTTCTTCAACATGCAGGTCCTTTGGGTGCTGTGGTACTTATTCTGTCACATCATGTATAAAGGCCAAACCCTTTCATCTTTCAGCTCTGTTGAGACTCCCTCAAATTCTTGAGTTTGCTTAAGATTTTTAAGATCCTGTGAAGGGAAAAATGTTCTTATTTTCCAGTTCATTTTCTATCCCCATAAGCACTGAGAAGCTTTGACATCTAGCTGTTAAATTTGGTAGCAGTGAAGGGCTACCAAATAGCATACAAGGGCTTTGTATGCCATTGCATACTTTTTGCAGCAAACCCCGCCCCTGGGCGTTTGGGCGGAAGCTCACAGACGGCCATCGTTTCCCACGCCACAACAGTGGGTGATTCTTTCTTGGGGGTGGGGGAAGGGGGATTGTGTGGGAATCATACTTGTTAAAAAGTACTTTTATTGTTGTAGATTTGGAAATTAGACTGATGGGATTTACTGCACTTAAGAAATTTTTCTGAGCTGTTTATTAATTAGAATGTGGGACAATATAATATCTGTCTTCTGGGAAAGAAGGTGTAATTATACAAGAGTTCAAGTTGTTTAAAAAATAAGGGCTTCCAAAAAGCCAGTAATTGATGGATGAAGAGCACGTGGGTTTTTTTTTTTTTTCTTTCTTGATTCTAAAAGGAGCACAGGATTTAGCAGAATCAGTTTTCTCTTGATAAATTCATATCACATATTGCAATTGAGAGAATTTTAGAGTTATGTTGAGTTTATATGCTGTCCTTGAGGTATTAATTACATATGATATCAACACTTTTGCTATTCTAGCCAGACATTGATTCAGGCGGTGTATATTCTTTTTGAAAGTGGAAAGACAGAGCATGTTTATGAAAATAAGAGGTAGATTGGTAATCTTTTGATTTGGTTTCAGGGAACAAAGAGTCACTGGAACCCTTGTGTTTATTCTGACTGGTCTCTCAGTCTTTATGGCTCCCATCTTGAAGGTAAATATATGAAACACCTCTTCCTCCTTCTCAAATACTGACAGATAAGTGGATTTGTGAAGAATAGAGTTTCTTATGAGCTATTTGCAGGACTCTCATTAGTTCTACAACACACTGAAGCAGGGATCAGATAGAATGAGAGGAGTTAAAAAAACTTTTATCATGACTCCCTTCTCACTCCTTTATTCCTTCTATTATTGTTGTTGTTGTTGCTATTATTATTATTGCACTTGTTTGGTTGAACTGTATTAAATTACCAATATTCAAACTTTTTGACCTACGAAACTGTCAGTTTCATACAGTGAATTCAAACCGATCTCCCCTCCACCCCACATATTTCAGCCCTCTAGTTGTCGCACAGCCTTTCCTCCCCTCACTTTCCATTCCCTAGTCTCTAAGTCCTTTTCCCCTCTATCCCCATATTAGACTCCTGGACAACATGAGTGACTCAGGATGATCATTTTGTAATTTTTTCCCTATTCTTAATTATTACTGTTTCTATTTCCTTTGGATAAAAATGCCCAATATCCACCATGAGTGAATAGAGTAAAATTGCTGATTTATAATTAGAAAACTTAGAACCAAACTTTTAAAAAGGACAAAAATGACATGGTAGATTATTTAGAAAGTTGGCAGTCAATATATACAGGTTTGACTGATGGGGGAATGTTTACCTAATTAGATATGGAAGCCTACTCAGAAATAAAGGTAGGACTAGAAATTTCTAGGATTAGAAATTACATATGGAAGCCTACTTAGAAATGGAAATAGGACTAAAACAGAAGGTTAAGATGAGTACATACTCGTCATGAAACTTTCAGTTTTCTTTTGTGACACAAGCATTTTATTTTTTTCTATATAAATTTTACTCGTTGGTTACTGATAATTTGCATCTTACATTTTGAACCACAATGCAAACCCCCAAATCACCTATAAACATAACAGCTATAAACAATGACTGTTAATAATATCCTCCCAAATCTCTTTTCTGAAAAATTTTTGATTATTTCTAAACAATTGTAATTTTTAAAGCTTTTAAAATATTTATTTAATTACATGAGTAATGGAGTGGCCACTCTTGTAAAGAATTCAAACAATACAAGAAAGATGATGAAAGGCGAAGGCTGTCCATTTCTCTCAGGTTAGAACATTTATATGTCAGTGACCAATCAGATGCATTTGAGAACAATAGAATCATAATTTCTCAGCATATAGATAAGACTGACTTTGTCTTCAAGGTACTTCATTAGATTAATGCATATGTTATACACAAAATACCTGGTGAACAGTTAAAAGATTTAAGTAGTCATCTTTTGTCCTTGGTTTCCACGATGTCACTTAACTCGTTTAATTCTTTTCTGACTGCAGCCATGAGGGATGAGTATCTCATGGAACACATGGAATAGTAAAACTAAAAACAACCTTAAAAAATTCTTCTCTGGTTATAGAGAGAGGACCTTAAAAAAGAGTATGGATCTTATGTTCTATAGCAGCAATTTTCAACCCTTTTCATCTCATGGCAACATAAACCAATGACTAAAATTCTGCACAAACCAAACAATATATATTTTTTGCCAATCTGACAAAAATAGGCATAATTTTGATTCATTCACACCAAAGGCTGTTTCTGTGTTGGCTCTTTTCATTTTTTTATTTGACAATCTAAGGGAAAAGAGGTCAGTGCCCCTGACAAAATAGTCAGGTACCACATGTTTTAAAAATCGTTGCAGCATACCGGTTGAAAGTTGCTATTCACTGGGGCAGAGGGAAGTCTACTGTTGCTTTCACCAGTGCACAGCAAGTTGTGGGGTGGGGATGAAGCTGTCATGTTCCACAGGATCAGCTTTACCACCAAAATGCCTTGTGTTCCTCTGTTGTCCCAGAGACACCAGCAGATTGATTAGCTGGTGGAAAAACCTACTGACAGCTTTTTTCTGCATAGGCATTGGGACCCCATCTGGATAGATCAGTTTTTAGAGAGGTCTCTGCAGGCATCTATGACCACCACAGTGGAGGCTCTATTGGGGATGAACCGGCTCCTGGGGTCCCTGGAGGTGGGCTTGCCTGCCACACTGCGATGTTTCTTTTATGGGGTTTCTTGTACTTACAAGGGGTGGTATACAGAGATCTTCCCATCAGTTTGTGTTTACTCATGAATCCCCTCCCATTTTTTAATGTTTATATTATTTCTTTTCATTGCTACAGTATAAAATCCTAATTCAAAAAAGTCAGATATGTTAAAAAGTTATTTTGTTGTTATTACAGCACACTGGCCTTCATGTTGGATAATCTGTCAGCTGAGTAATTGTGTCTGATTCCGAAGGGTCACAGATACTGTATAAGTTGCTATTTTAAGATGAGATGCAAAACTCAGATTTTCAACAACACCTCTTCCTATTTTCTGACCCTGCACCTAAATATGGCTGCAGAGGAATTAAAGCTGGAAGCCCCTTTGTTCTTCTTTTTACAAGGATTCTTTTTGCTCCAGATATGCAAAGCACATCACTATCTACAGGAACAAATTAGAATACAGAGAAAGGAAAAAGAGATGTAAGGGATCAAAGGGATTGATGACCGCGAGCTTGCTTTCCCTCTGACCTCTCTTGGTAATCCATGCTTGGGCTTTGCCCTCACTCAGCTGCTGGAGTCCATCATTGTGTCTATTTTCTCTTCGCACTTTGGGTCAATGCAAAGAGTACTGTAGGAATCAGACAAAAAAAGCAGTCCAGCAAGCATTTATGTTACAGAAGATCCTGCCCAAATGGTGGGACATGAAACTGTCTTGTTAATATAGTTTCCAAGCTATTGTGGGAAACCTAGATTTAAAAACAAGAATAAAATAGTATAGCCAGAACTACCGTGGTGCTTTCCTTCAGTGATTAAGACTAGTTACACTTTAAGAATCATATGTGATAAGGTGGGCTAGTTTTAGTTCATGTGTCCTTTTTTATCATTAAAGTTTGGTAAGTTGTATGGATTTTCCACAAAACCCTTCTAGCTCATTCAAAAAGTCAACACAGGAAGAAGATTTCGAGGGAAGACTCAAACTAAAACCTAAGTTACAACTGAATCTAAAGTTCCAATGAAAAGTCAAGAGTAGCAATTAACAGAGAGGCATGACCGGGGTTACCTGGAAGGAGGGAACCTTTTTGCCCCCACCATGGTGACTCTGTATATTTCAAAGGAACAGGTGACAGACAACTCGAGAGAATGTTTGTTACTTGAGAGTTTGCCTTAAAAGGCAGATCAAGTGAATGGGATCAAGAAAAATGTGTGACTTTTAGTTTTAAAAATGAAACGGCTCAACCATTTAATCTCTCACAAGTTTAGTGGGCTCGGATGATCCTAGGAATTTGCTCCCGTAATAGGAAGCAGTATAGGTAGTTGTTCCCTGTGCCTCCTCATGCAGGCTTACTTTGACCATGAAGTTGATGATGTCCGTTCTGATCTCTCCACCAAAATCTCTCTTTTTACGTGGAAGAATATAAGGAATAAGAGTGTACTAGCTTTAAGTTCATGAGGAAGCTTCCCCTTCACCTTAGCCAGCTGTGTCTTCTGAGCCTCATCTCACCACTAATTCGATGCCAGACTGTTGAGAAGCAGGCATAACTCGCTTTCCAGGCTGGTTAAACAGTTTGGGTCTGCGTGTCTGTAGCGGAAATACTGCCTGTTAAGCTAGTGCTCTGTATGGGAGACTTGGGGAGACCAAAGAGCACTGAGAAGATGAAAGTAGTTCCTTGGGCTTACTATGTTAACCCTTCTGATAAGCCTAAGGGAATAAAGATTATTTGAAGTTCCCTGCTACTTCTCTTGCCATTGCTTGAATTAGTTTATCTGTAACAGGCAGAGCAGCTAAAATTTACCTTTCAGATTTGTTTAGTGTTCTGAAATGTGGAGGGCAGCGTTTAACTTGTATTCGGCAAACAGTGGTTGACCTCATACAGTATGCCACACACTCTGCCCATTAGTGTGGAAAGGGAGATTGATGACAGTGATGACGACAATGATGGATGACAATGATTGTAATAGTAGCTCTGTTTATTGACCTTGGCATTGGGTTAAGGGCTGTGCAAGGCTGTGTGTGTGTGTGTGTGTGTGTGTGTGTGTGTGTGTGCATGCAAGGCTTTTTAAATTTTAGTTCTCCAATAACACAAAACTATATTAATAGTTATATTCATTTTACAGATAAGAAGAGTTATTAGTAGCTTCAAAGCCAAGATTTGAACTTAGGCAATTCTGTCTCCAAAGGCTGATTTCATAATCATCAGAGTGTACTGCCTTTTAAAATAAAACAATACTTGCTGTCATAGGATTCATTCACTTTCGTTTCCCATGAGATGATCTTTCCTAGCCTCTTTGATCCATTTTCCAAATCTCTGATGTAGAGAAAAAGATGATATTGTCATCAACTCATCATAGCTCACTCCACAGTTTCTTTAGTGACTAGGGACCAGATTGTAAGTCAGCAACTTTCTTTCTTTTTTTTTTTTAAGTCAAAATGCTTTGGACTTAATGTAAAATTTCCAACCCTCTAGTACCCCCAAAATAATACAAACATGCCTAAGTTCAAATTTGTTTTGCTTGTCAATGCCAGCCCTCATAGGGAGGTTGGGAAAGCACTGTGAGGAAGCAACTGTCCTCACCACTCTTGACAGTTTTTTTAGTGTTACGAGGACCATCAGATTTATGGATGACCGATGACAGTTGATGGGAGATCTTTATCGTGTGGGAATTACCTGACCAGTGTTCTAGTATTATATCACAAACAAATAAGAACACAAACGTAGTCCCTTTTATATCATCCTCCAGCACCACCTCTAAAAGAAAGTGGGTTACAGCATTTTAAGACTATGGACCATTTATCTCAACAAGCTCATCCTTTATACAAAGCACATCCTGACAGGCTGATCAGAAGCTCTCTCTCCAGTCCAGAAATTGCTTCTTTCCAAGAACTCCCAAGAGCAGCGCATCTCTGGAGTGGTTTGTGCTCAGTTATAGCT